CCGGGGTGTATGGGGAATCATCACATATAAACCGCTCTCGCAGGCAGCCACTGCCTTCTTGTGGATCGATGTCGCTGTTTATTTTTAATAGCTGCTAACTGTCAATCCTGTCACTCCTCACCGAACAACACTGTGGGAGACGTGTCACAACCACACAGCAATGAACGCTGGCCACTTTAGCCTTGCTATTGTCCCAATCATAAAATTAGATGCACGTTAAATGAGAACTATTCCTGAGAAGCACCTCTTCCTTAAACAAATTCCTGAACTTTGAACAGACACTTTGAGTTTAGCAACTAACCCTAGGAATATTTCTCGTGACAGCCCCACAGCGGAAGTTACTCCAGCCGGTCTCCGGATGAAAATGAAACACCACACAGGAGGTGAGGAACCGACTTCTGCAACCAACCGCCGCCCTGCTGTAAAGCAGCTTTTTAACTGATCCACCTGTGGTTCAAGACTGGGTTCTGGGAGCAATCCCTACAACAGACACAAGATTATGCAGTGGCGGGATTTTCTGCAAGGAAGTGAAAGTGCTGCAAAACCTCAGCAGTTCAGACAGTATCTCTAGAGAGACGGGGAGAGAGAATATAAACTCCGGCTCACTGACCTTTGGTCTTCAATAACCAGCCGCTTCAAAGCACTGTCCGTCTCAGTCCAGGAGAGACAAACGTTGCTGTTGGTTTGAGCTTGCTCTGTGTAAATCTCTTCAGTCTAACACCATGTAAAAGCAGTTTCCTGGAGTTTCACCATGTTGTTCGTGAAACCACCAGGTCCCTCTCTCCAGCTCCGTCTCACACTTTCAACCCACCGCCTCCTTCCGGTTCAGGCACTCATATTGCGCATACTCTGTAAACTGCCTGGCTCCGGTAAATTGTTCACTCTGATTGGTTCGAGGCCCAGCCAATCCCGGAAAGATAACCGGGCTGCCCTTCTTTCTATAGGCCATACATGCCGTCAATCACCCCAGAACTGAAGCATGCGCGGAGTGAGTATGACATTCAGATGCCAAGGCCCGTTTCTGGTTGTACAAATTTGTTCAAAGGCGAGGAATTGACCCAGAATTCATTTGTACTTCAGTTCGGGAAGGAGGTTTTTCATAAAAACATTTTATGTTATGTAGTCATCCCTGGGGAGGCCAGTATTTACTGTCCATCCCTCATTGTCCAGAGGGCGGTGAAGATTCAACTACATGCTGCTTGGCCTGCTGTGTTCATCCAGCTCTACACCTTGTTATCTTACATTGTTGTGGGTCTGGAGTCAGATGCCGGTCCAACTGGGGCATGGCGGCAGTTTTCCCTCCCTAAAGGACAGCAGTGATCGCGGTGGGGTTTACAGTAATTGACAGAGAGTCCATTTTTTAAGTACAGTTTCTTAATGACTTAGTTTTCACATTTAT